AAATTGATAAGGTGGAAAAGCAAAATAATTTAGCTATAATTGTTTTCGGACATTCTTCTAAAGGAATTGTTGTACCGGGATAAGCTCCGCTCTGGAACATATTCCAATTCAATTCATTTCTGATCGAAAAAGATGGTAAATATCATTATACGTGGATAAAGAGTTTCAACAGGCTATTATACGATCAAACAAAACATGCTAGAAAGAAATATTTCTGTGAAAGATGCCTACATGGGTACAGCAGACAAGATCTATTAGAAGCACATAAAGAAGACTGCAGAGGTGTTGGGCAGACTGCTATCAGAATCGATATGCCTAAAGAGGGAAAAAATATATATTAAAATTTGAACGTTATTGTAATCAAATGCCAGTACCGTACGTAATTTACGCTGACTTAGAAGCACTTATCAAACCTATTGAAAATATGGAACACAATACTGATTTAAGTTTTACGTACAAAACTCAAGAACATATTCCTTGTGGGTGTGGATATATAGTTCGTATGATGGGACAACAAACCCGCACGTGATTTACAGAGGTCCCGATGCAGCGGGAAAGTTCCTAGAATATCTACAAAACGAAGAGAGAATAATCAGGGAAAATTTATCACGTAGGAAACCCATGTGTATGACGAGGGATGATTGGAGGGTCTGTAAGAAGTCGACTAGTTGTCATTTTTGTAATAAACCTCTGAATGGGGATTCTGTAAGAGATTATTCCCCCTGTAGTAGCATTATAGGCATATAAATCTGGCTCCAGTGGAAGTGGTCCAGAACCATCATTACCTATACTACTGCAAGCTTCAGTATTCTCGGACGCTGAAGCCTTATGAAATATCGGTGCACAAGCGACGATGGGTGTTTTCCACAGTTGGTCCAGATGATTCTCATTCAGTATAGGATGCGTTGTTTCAGGTTCCTTTGGTTTTTTGTTTTGTTGGCATCACTGGGAAAAGACGAGACGTCTCATCACAAACTTTCGCCAATCTTCCATCCGTGTCCGCTGTTTTGGGGGTCATTTGACCGTGTAGTTTCATCATCCATATAAGAGATAAGATCATAAGTTAAGCCTTTATTAACCTAAAGGAAATTCGCTGTGACTTGATTAAAAGCGCAGCTGATATATCAGTGTATGCATGTGGTGTATATATGTTGCGTTGTGCATATCAGTGTATGCATGTGGTGTATATATGTTGCATTGTACAATCAGTGTATGCATGTGGTGTGTATATGTTGCGTTGTGTATATCAGTGTATGCATGTGGTGTATATATGTTGCGTTGTGCATATCAGTTTATGCATGTGGTGTATATATGTTGCGTTGTACAATCAGTGTATGCATGTGGTGTGTATATGTTGCGTTGTGTATATCAGTGTATGTTTGTGGTGTATATATGTTGCGTTGTGTATATCAGTGTATGCATGTGGTGTATGTATGTTGCGTTGTGCATATCAGTGTATGCATGTGGTGTGTATATGTTGCGTTGTCTATATCAGTGCATGCATGTGGTGTATTTATGTTGCGTTGTGTATATCAGTGTATGTTTGTGGTGTATATATGTTGCGTTGTGTATATCAGTGTATGCATGTGGTGAATGTATGTTGCGTTGTGTATATCAGTGTATGCATGTGGTGTGTATATGTTGCGTTGTCTATGTCAGTGCATGCATGTGGTGTATATATGTTGCGTTGAATGTTTATGGTGTATGTATGCATCAGTCAATATAACAAAATGTATGTGGTGTGTATGTTTCATTGTTTAATGGGACTGTGTTTGTATCCGTCACCCATAACATATACAATAGCCACAGATGGACAGAAAGCCAATACGAAACAAGTGTTAATTTTAGTGGGAGCACTTGGTGCTCAAACGTTAGATTGTAATCCCACACCAAACTTGAATGAAATCTGATAAATATCTCAATGTTAACCATTCTGATGTCTCCGTTCCGTTGCCATGGTAACTAAGGTTCTCAGAACCTATGACATTGTGGTACGGGTTCCAAAACACGTATATCTATTTATCGAAATCGGATAATATCTACATTTCAACCAATCGGAATCCTCCGTCCCGTCGTTATCCGTTATGAAGTTTCCTGACTGTTGATAAGTATTATTTCATAGTGATAATTGTAAATGTAAAAGAAAATTATCTGTCACTTTAACCCGCATTGTAAAACTATTTACAGTTAGGGTTAATCCGCAACTCGTTTATGTTAATGTTTATATTAAGGGTTGTAACAAAGCAGGAGAAATTAGGTCGGGTTCAGCCAGGGTATTCCAGACATGTCCAAGAGCACAATTTCTAGTCTTTGGTGTCAGTACCAAATGTATTATATAAAACGTCAATGCCAGAGAATAACCGGTCTCGATTATTCGGCGAAATAAATCCAAATTGGTGTAAAAGGAAAAGTAGAGGTGAAACTTGTGTAAATGGATCCCTGAACATCAGTGATGACACCAGGTGTTCGCGAAGAGGGTAAGCATGTCCATTACCTCTTTGTTTTATCCATTTTTAACTACGAATACAGCGTTGAGTACAGTGATTTATGCAGCACTGAACTGATGGAAGACAGAGATGACAGCGGCGGCAGCGTAACCTCACGTCACGTAGTTCCACGTTTCTCATAAGTTCAAATGACCCGTGAAGATCCGGGGTATAATAGGTCTTCAGCAACCCATGCTTGTCGTAAAAGGCGACTAACGGGGTCGGGTGGTCAGGCTCGCTGACTTGGTTGATGCATGTCATCGATCCCATATATGTGGATCGATGCTAATGATATTTATCACTGGATTGTCTGGTCCAGACTCGATTATTTACAGACCGCCGTCATATAGCTGCAATATTGCTGTGTGCGGCGTTAAACAACAAACCAATCATAAGTTCAAATGATCAGTCGTCTTGCCAATTCAGTATGAACCTACGTATTCGCTGTGTCGCCGTATCGCCGTATCGCCATGTCGTGTTACCATGTTTTCAATGTCGCCTTTCAATGTCGCCTTCTTGCTTTATCGCCAATTCGCAATGTCGTGTGTTGTTGTCGCAAAGTCGTATCGTGTTATCGCCATGTCGTCCTTTTTGGCTGTATGGCATTATCGCTATATCATATTGTAATATCGCAATGTCGTGTCATGTCGTGTTATCGCTTTGTCGTGATATCGCGTAGATATGAGTGAATGAGTTGTGTTTAACGCCGCTTTTAACAGTATTCCAGTTATATCACGGCGTGTCAGCGTAATGTGGTAGGAAAGCCCGAAGTGATGCAGGTCACAGACGTTTATCACATTGGTGAAACCCACGAGTACGGGTATGGTGCTGACAAACCTAGAAACATAATCGGGGCGAACCGGGATTCGAACCCACAATCATAGGTCTCTGGCGTGCCCACGGGACGCACCTCTGCACAGCGAATCGCGGCGCTTTAGACGACTGGGCCACCCGTGCCCCCGCGTAGATATGACAGGGCAACATGGCAATGGACCTTAACCACCATATAATTCATGCTTTACACACATAGATTATTATTACATGTGATCGTGAAAGTATTTACTTCTCCCTTAAGCTAGAACACACACACACACATCGCCATATCAGTATTCTTGTTATATCACAGCGTGTCAGCTTGATGTGGGAGGAAAGCTGTTGTTTAATAAAGTTACGTTTAAGCACCAAATGTAAATGGACATGAGTGCACAGCGATGGGTACGCCCTCTATATTTGTAGATGTACTGAAATAGACACTGAACCTATAAACTACTATGTACACGTAGCAGTGCCAGCTATTCAATGCATTGGGGAGATTGGGAAGGGCACACTGGGATGGTGAATGTCCTGAATTTAGAATACACATTGTATTCAGCGATTTTTTGTACGTTCAGAAGAGATGTTTTCAATGTGTCAAGTCTTACAACAGATTGTCTTTATTCTTATCACCATATGCTGCACGTGACTTCCAAACTTTACACCTTAATCCTGCGTGAGACAAATGGTGCATCTCGAGTCATGGATCGATGACGTCACATATGATGCATTCATGAGCGTCGGTTCACACAACATACGTTGAATGTTGTATGTTCGTTTGTTCACCAAACCAATCTAATATCTCTTGAATATGGGTAATATTCTTCATATGTTAACCAATATTATGGCTTGTTTGATAGGCATTACTGAGAAGTTGGCGGATGACAAGATAGACACAATTTTATGGATAACAACTTCTTTAATACTGTAAAAAGCGACGTTTCGGTATAGATCCTTATACCGTTGTCAAGCAAGACTGAATGAGAGAGATATTTGGTGATTTTACGAGCGCTTCAGCCTCTGGCTATTTCGCACTCGGCTCTGGCTATTTCGCACTCGAATGAGGGACATAGTGTAGAATATATATAGCAAGTGGAGGATTAACAGTAGAGGATTAACAGTAACAACAAGGGCATACATGAGTGGGATAACATAGGTAGGTGTGACAACAAGGATGATGCTATCACAACACGATGGACAGAAAACACATAGCTAGAAGCCAATGGGGCATGAAGCCAATAAACAGGTGATTATTGTTTGATGAGTTCATAGTAGGCGGATGGGATGAAATAGCCTTGATCTCTGTTGATTGATGGGTTGTGGCGGCGAATGTGGACTGCTTCTGTTAGTTTTCTTTTGGTGAAATCATGGAGGTTGTTGGCGAGGATTTGGACGTTGTCCCAGTTGATGATGTGATTGGGACAGTTGATGATATGGTCCGAGATGGCTGATTTGCTGTCGGATTTGATGGTGGAGGTTTAAGCTCTTTGATTCTAGTGTTGATTGGGCGGGATGTTTCACCTACGTAAGATTGCCCGCAGTTGCAGTCAATTTTGTAGACTACACCTTTAACCTCTTGGGGTTTAGATGTGTTCCTGCCGTTGGCTCTTAGCAGGGTGTTGAGGGAGTTGGAGCTGGTGAAGTGGGTGTCGATGTTGGCTTGCTGTTTGAGGAGGCGGCTGATGATGTGGGAGGCTTTTCCTATGAACGGAAGGGCGATGCGGAAGGGCGCTGATTCGGGTTTAAGGGCCGCAGGTCTGGGTGTGGGACAGAGGCGATAACTTTGTCGACTAGTTTGGCCGGATAATTGTTGAGGTGGGTGAAGACTTGGCGGAGGTGTGTGATCTCAGGTTTGGGGTCAGCAGAGGAAAGGTTGATGGCACGTTTGGTAAGGGCGGAGATGATGCCAGTCTTGGTTCTGAGGGGGTGGTTAGAGTTGAAGTGGATACACTGGTCGGTGTGGGTGGGCTTCCGGTAGACACTGGTTTGGATTCTGTTAGCTGCGTTTCTACAGACGAGGACATCTAGGAAGGGTAGTTGGTTGTCCTTTTCTGTTTCGATGGTGAACTGTACTCGGGGGTGTTGTTGGTTAAGATGTTGTAGTAGCAGGGTTGGGTCTTGGTCTTGTTTGAGGATGACAAAGGTGTCGTCAACTTTCCTGTACCAGCAAATAGGTTGGATGGGTGATGTTGTGAGGGCTTGCTGTTCGAAGTGGGTCATGTAGATTTCAGTAAGGATAGGAGACAGTGGGGATCCCATGGGTAGGCTGTGTATCTGTTGATAATACTCGTCGCCCCAGGTGAAGTATGTGGTGGAGATACAGGCGGTGGTGAGGGCGATGATAGATTCTGTGGTTAAGCTGGTTTCAGGAGGGGTTTCAGTGATGCGACGGCGGAGAATTTGCAGAGTGTCATCTATGGGTACGTTGGTGAAGAGGTCTACTACATCGTAACTGATGATTTGATCTGGATTGGTGATGTTCTTGAGTTTGGAGCAGAAGTCCGTGGAGTCAGAGATGAAGGAGTCGGCTTTTTTTCCTAAGGGGGCAAGGATTGTGGTTAGGTGTTGGGCCGTTTTGTAGAAGACAGTATCTCGGGAGCACACAAGTAGACGGGCTTTAGGAGGGTTCTTGTGGATTTTGATGGTGGCTCTAGCATAGGGTGGTTGATGGAGAGTTTGTGGTTGATGGAGAGTTGGTGGTGAAGAGCTTGGCTAATATCAAAGTTGTCTTTAAGTTGTTTGAGGAGGGTTTTATGTTGGCGGAGGAGTTTGGTGGTTGGGTCCTTCTTGATCTTGGAGTAGGTGGTGGGGTCTTGGAGAATGTTGTTCACTAGCTCATATTAATATTATGGCATTCGTGTTTCTTTTGTCGGTGATATTATATAATATCCACTTGAATAACGTCGGAAATATAATACATGTACATCGGAAATATATCAGCCCACAGATAAGTAACGTATAAAGTAAGTACCATAATTAAGAAATAATGTAACGTATATTTTCCAAATAATGAAGCCTGGACTATGGAATACTGTAAGGGACATTCTCGAGATCTCGCATTATCGAGATCTCGACCTTTGGAAACGAGCAAAATATGCCCAAAACACGAGGATGCGAAATCGCGAGAACCCGAGATTTGGCCAAAATCTCGCGTTCTCGCGATTTAGCAGTCTCGTTTTTTTCTTTTACACATAGCACTTTATGTCAAAAGTCGACAACGCGAGAATGTAACAATTGGACATCATGAAAAATCTCGCAGTCTCGACTTGACAAATTAGGCCACAAAAACACGAAATCGCGAAACGCGAGAACGCGACGCTTCACTTTTTCTCGCGATCTCGCGTTTTAGACGCTGCGCATGCGTAATATCATAAGGTCAAGGCGCATGCGCACGTTTGTAGTTCTGTGCTATTCATCCTCCAAAATTGACCTTCAAATTCCTATATAATTTACATACACAAAGTCCTATGTAGAGTAGAGTCCTCTCCCTTTGGTACAGTTCCCTGTGCACTTTAAATTAAAACCCTCACCTTGCTCAATATAATTTAACAAAAGAAATTGTGTACATGAATGTTCAATGAAAGTGAAAACAATAATGTGTCCGAAAGCTGGAAACAAAATATCATTGTCAGTGAAAGAGTAACTATTGCTTACAGCCACATAAGCAGTATTGCAGCTTATTGCAGCTGCACTGTTAGTTACAGAAATAATCATATTCCCATGAAGCCATTTTGTCACCTCTGGTATTACTGGAGACGTATCCTATACCTGTATCGAAGCGGTAATAGATTTAGTTATCAGGTCTGGTAACCTAGCTACGATTCACACCTTCATACAGCTGTAGGGCGATTACGTAGCATTATAACCATCTGGTAACCAGATTAGTTCAGATTTTTTCCTCTCTCATTGTCAAAAAGAGTGAATCAAGTATATGAACTTTCTTTGGTCCAACAATTACTGAGCAGAACTAAATAAAATTTAATATATAATTTTACATCGTGACAAAATATGGTGATCGAAAAACCGAACGAAAACGGTCGCAATCAACTTCAATGAATTATTTCATCGGTGTCATTCGCCTAAATTGTCTACACCTATCTCCTTGTTTTAAAAGCATTTTCGATCAATATTTTGATGTTAATAATCAATAAACGATAACCAACTCACTAAAAACATAGTGCGATACCTTTTGACTGAAGAACGACCACTTGTCGCCGAGGACCAATTATCTCAACATATCTCATCATCATATTGTCAGGCGTCATCCCTATCCTCACATTGTCAGGCTTCATCCTTATCATCACCTTGTGAATCTTCATCCCTAATTCACATTGTCAGGAGTCATCGCTATCATCATATTGTCAGGCATCATCCCTATCATCACATTGTCAGGCGTCATCCCTATCATCATATTGTCAGGCTTCATCCCTTTCATCACATTGTCAGGCGTCATCCCTATCATCATATTGTCAGGCTTCATCCCTATCATCACATTGTCAGGAATCATCCCTATCATCACATTGTCAGGCTTCATCCCTATCATCATATTGTCAGGCTTCATCCCTATCATCATATTGTCAGGAATCATCCCTATCATCACATTGTCAGGCTTCATCCCTATCATCACATTGTCAGGAATCATCCCTATCATCATATTGTCAGGCTTCATCCCTTTCATCACAATGTCAGGCGTCATCCCTATCATCATATTGTCAGGCTTCATCCCTATCATCACATTGTCAGGAATCATCCCTATCATCACATTGTCAGGCTTCATCCCTATCATCATATTGTCAGGAATCATCCCTATCATCACATTGTCAGGCTTCATCCCTATCATCATATTGTCAGGAATCATCCCTATCACCACATTGTCAGGAATCATCCCTATCATCATATTTTCAAGCGTCAACCCTATCATCACATTGTCTACCTTCATCCCTATCATCACATTGTCTACCTTCATCCCTATCATCGCATTGTCTACCTTCATCCCTATCATCACATTGTCAGGCTTCATCTATATATCACATTGTCTGGCGTCATCCCTATCAGCACATTGTCAGGCGCCATCCCTATCATCACTTTTTCAGGCGTCATCCCTATCATCATATTGTCAGGAATCATCCCTTTCATCACATTGTCAGGCTTCATCCCTATCATCACATTGTCAGGCGTCATCCCTATCATCATATTGCCAGGCATCATCCTTATCATCATATTGTCAGGCGTCATCCCTATCATCACATTGCCAGATGTCATCCCTATCATCACATTGTCAGGAATCATCCCTATCATCACCTTGTCAAGCTTCATCCCTATCATCACATTGTCAGGAATCATCCCTATCATCACATTGTCAGGCTTCATCCCTATCATCACATTGCCAGGCTTCATCCCTATCATCATATTGTCAGGAATCATCCCTATCATCACATTGTCAGGAATCATCCCTATCATCATATTTTCAAGCGTCATCCCTATCATCACATTGTCATGCGTCATCCCTATCCTCACATTGTCAGGAATCATCCCTATCATCACATTGTCAGGAATCATCCCTATCATCACATTGTCAGGAATCATCCCTTTCATCACATTGTCAGGCTTCATCCCTATCATCACATTATCAGGCGTCATCCCTATCATCATATTGTCTACCTTCATCCCTATATCACATTGTCAGGCGTCATCCCTATCATCGCATTGTCAGGCTTCATCTATATATCACATTGTCAGGCGTCATCCCTATCAGCACATTGTCAGGCGTCATCCCTATCATCACATTGTCAGTCTTCATCCATATATCACATTGTCTGGCGTCATCCCTATCAGCACATTGTCAGGCGCCATCCCTATCATCACTTTGTCAGGCGTCATCCCTATCATCATATTGTCAGGAATCATCCCTTTCCTCACATTGTCAGGCTTCATCCCTATCATCACATTGTCAGGCGTCATCCCTATCATCATATTGCCAGGCATCATCCTTATCATCATATTGCCAGGCGTCATCCCTATCATCACATTGCCAGATGTCATCCCTATCATCCCATTGTCAGGAATCATCCCTATCATCACCTTGTCAAGCTTCATACCTATCCTTATATTGTCATGCGTCATCCGTATCATCCCATTGTCAGGAATCATCCCTTTCATCACATTGTCAGGAATCATCCCTATCATCACCTTGTCAAGCTTCATACCTATCCTTATATTGTCATGCGTCATCCGTATCATCCCATTGTCAGGAATCATCCCTATCATCACATTGTCAGGCTTCATCCCTATCATCATATTGTCAGGAATCATCCCTATCATCACATTGTCAGGAATCATCCCTATCATAATATTTTCAAGCGTCATCCCTATCATCACATTGTCATGCGTCATCCCTATCCTCACATTGTCAGGAATCATCCCTATCATCACATTGTCAGGAATCATCCCTTTCATCAAATTGTCAGGCTTCATCCCTATCATCACATTATCAGGCGTCATCCCTATCATCATATTGTCTACCTTCATCCCTATATCACCTTGTCAGGCGCCATCCCTATCATCGCATTGTCTACCTTCATCCCTATCATCACATTGTCAGGCTTCATCCATATATCACATTGTCTGGCGTCATCCCTATCAGCACATTGTCAGGCGCCATCCCTATCATCACTTTGTCAGGCGTCATCCCTATCATCATATTGTCAGGAATCATCCCTTTCATCACATTGTCAGGCTTCATCCCTATCATCACATTGTCAGGCGCCATCCCTATCATCATATTGCCAGGCATCATCCTTATCATCATATTGCCAGGCGTCATCCCTATCATCACATTGCCAGATGTCACCCCTGTCATCATGTTGTCAGGCGTCATCCCTATCATCACACTGTCAGGCATCATCTCTATCATACCATTGTGAGGCGTCATCCCTATCATCACATTGTCTAGCTTCATCCCTATATCACATTGTCAGGGGTCATCCCTATCATCATATTGTGTAGCTTCATCCCTATATCACATTGTCAGGCGTCATCCCTATCCTCACATTGTCAGGCTTCATCCCTCTCATCACTCAATCTTCATCCCTATATCACTCTGTCTAGCGTCATCCCTATCATCATATTGTTAGGCGTCATCCCTTTCATCACATTGTCAGGCGCCATCCCTATCATCATATTGTTAGGCGTCATCCCTATCATCACATGGTCAGGCATCATCCCTATCCTCACATTGTCAGGCTTCATCCTTATCATAACATGGTCAATCTTCATCCCTAATTGTCAGGAATCATCCCTATCATCATATTGTCAGGAATCATCCCTATCATCACATTGTCAGGAATCATCCCTATCATCACATTGTCAGGAATCATCCCTATCATTACCTTGTCAAGCTTCATCCCTATCCTTATATTGTCAGGCGTCATCCTTATCATCCCATTGTCAGGAATCATCCCTATCATCAAATTGTCAGGCTTCATCCCTATCATCATATTGTCAGGAATCATCCCTATCATCACATTGTCAGGAATCATCCCTATCATCATATTGTCAGGCGTCATCCCTATCATCACATTGTCATGCGTCATCCCTATCCTAACATTGTCAGGAATCATCCCTATCATCACATTGTCAGTAATCATCCCTTTCATCACATTGTCAGGCTTCATCCCTATCATCACATTATCAGGCGTCATCCCTATCATCACTTTGTCTGGTTCATCCCTATCATACATTTGTCAGGCGTCATCCCTATCATCACATTGTCTACCTTCATCCCTTTATCACATTGTCAGGCGTCATCCCTATCATCACATTGTCTACCTTCATCCCTATCATCATATTGTCAGGCGTCAATCCTATCATCACATTGTCAGGCTTCATCTATATATCACATTGTCTGGCGTCATCCCTATCAGCACATTGTCAGGCGCCATCCCTATCATCACTTTGTCAGGCGTCATCCCTATCATCATATTGTCAGGAATCATCCCTTTCATCACATTGTCAGGCTTCATCCCTATCATCACATTGTCAGGCGGCATCCCTATCATCACATTGTCAGGGATCATCCCTGTCATCACATTGTCAGGAATCATCCCTATTCTCACATTGGCAAGCGTCATCCCTATCATCATATTGTCTAGCTTCATCACTATATCACATTGTCAGGCGACATCCCTATTATGATATGGTCAGGCTTCATCTCTATTATCACCTTGGCTTCATCATTATCATCAGACTGTCAGTTTTCATCCCTATCATCCCTATCATCACATTGTCTGGCTTCATCATTATCATCCCAGGCTTCATCCCTATGATCACATTGTCTGGCTTCAACCCTATCATCACATTGTCAGGAACCATATCAACAAGCATCATAGTGGTAACATAAAATTGGAGAGCAGCCCCACTCTCTTCAATATAATGATAAACGATCTATTCGGGGGCCTATCCCCAAAAGTAAACACATCAAAATTCGCGGATGATGGAGCCCTATGGATCTGCACTAAAAGCATTAAAATGGCCCAAAACTTACTCCAAAAATCTCTTAATAAAATACAACAATGGGCTGACAAATGCGGCTTCTCCCTTAACTCAGAAAAAACAACAGGAATAGTATTCAAACATAAAAACATGAAACCCGCCTCCCCAATCCTCCAGCTAAACAACCAAACAATCAAATTTCAAAAACAAACCAAATTCTTAGGACTTATTTTCGATGAACATCTCACCTGGGATGCTCACATCCAAAACCTAACAACTAAATGCAGTAAAGACCTAAACACCCTAAGATGCCTAACTGGCTCTAACTGGGGAGCCTCCAAAGATACCCTCCTCTCTCTCTACATATCACTAATTAGATCAAAACTAGACTACGGCTGCGCCATATACAACACCCTAAACAACGCTCTATCTAAACAACTTGACTCAATACAATATCAGGCTCTCAAACTAATTACACGCACCCAACATGGCACCTCCTACACTTCACTTCAGGACTAAACAGGAGAAATGCCACTAAGTCTACGCAGGGAACAGCTAAGCTTAAATTTCTGGGCCGCGTCCCAGTCAAACCCTCTCATCCAAAACTTAATAAACCAAAATATCAGCCCCAAAAACCAAGCTCTAGCTCGTAAACACCCCTTACTTACCCCAATATCCCAAAGAATAACAAACTACCTAAATGAACACCAAATTAAAAATCTTAAACAAAACTGCAAACAATCAAATATCTTCACCCCTAAACTTAAAGTACCCAAAATAGACACAACACTAGCTAGCCAAATAAATAAACAAACCGACCCAAACATAGCTAAAATAGCTATAGCATACATACACGAAAATTGGCCAAATTGGTGTCACATTTACACGGACGGATCTTCAGATCCGACCTCCAAACACACAGGTTTCGAAGTCCATACCACACAACCAACTAAAACCACACAATCCTTCCGACTCCCAAACAACCAATCAATATTCACGGCAGAACTAATGGGCATGGCCTCAGCCCTCCACAATCAAGAATCCAAAACCCACAAAAAAATCATAATACTTACCGACTCCCTAAATGGACTGCAAGCCCTACAAAATAAAAATACCAAAAATCGACATAAATTAATAAATCAAATACTTAAAAGCTCCAACGACCTAACTAAGGCAGGCAAACAAATAACCTTCTTGTGGATACCCGCCCACGTAGGAATATACGGTAATGAAAACGCCGATAAGGCAGCTAAACTATCCCTCAAAATCCAAGAAATAAGCTGAAACTTACCCATCTCAAAATCAGAAATTAAAAGCGTAAACATGCAAAAAATCACCTAAAAATGGCATAACCTATATCTAAACAAATAGCCAAATCAAAAAAGTACTCAGCAAACCACTTACCAAACCAAAAATTCTCCATCCATCAAAAAAAATCGACAGAGTAATCACTAAACTCCAAACAGGACACACTAACCTAAATAACCACCTAAAAAAAACAAAACAACATACTACAGGTAACTGCCCACACTGCAAACAAGTAGAAACCCCAGAACACGCACTCATCCACTGCACACACTACCTAACACATCGAACCGCATTACAAACCACCCTCAATCTAAACAAGGCTCTCACTCTAGAAGCAATACTAAACCCACAAAATAAACTAGAAAACTTCAAGGCCTTAGGCGTATTCTTAATCAAAACGGAACTAATAAAACGCATCTAAAAACACTATAATCTACCAAATCAAAATTACATAAACAAACAAACATCCACCATACCCAGCTCCCTTAGTTCTCCTCCCCAACCCCATCGGCATCTATTCCAAATCTCAAAATTCCCAAATTCCATATAAGCAGCCCCTAAAGCCCCCTCTTGGGTTGCACACACCACTTTCGCCCCTTTCGGAAACACATTAAATGGCCTGGCCGGGCCCGTGTGCGAAATACGCATCAGTCGGAAAGCGCACGTTAAATCTCCAAAGTAAGTAAGTAAGTAAGGTCGACTGACATCACTGTGCTTAATATTTAAATATACTGACATGAATCATGCTTTTAATCGTAAATTTCTTCTTTTAAAAATATAAGAAGCGAACCGACATTGTCGGAAGACATGATGTATATGCTTATTTGTCATTTATACCATAA